GTCCGTCCGTACCGTCCGTCCGTCCGTCGTCGTCTCTCTCTCTCTCTCTCTCTCTCTCTCTCTCTCTCTCTCTCTCTCTCTCTCTCTCTCTCTCTCTCTCTCTCTCTCTCTCTCTCTCTCTCTCTCTCTCTCTCTCTCTCTCTCTCTCTCTCTCTCTCTCTCTCTCTCATTCTCTGCGTTATTCAGAAAGTTGCCGGTATCGGTATCGCGGTATTCCCAGTCAGTCGTGATTCATTCGGTTCAGTAATAGTGCAATTCTCCACAAAGTGTTTGCGGATTCGACTCGGTATTCATGCAAATCGCGTGCGAGTAACGAGGGAAGAATTTTAATCTGGGCATACACTCCGGTCTTTACTGGCGATAGTAATTAGAGCTTCCGCTTCACTATGCACCTGTGAATTTATTTATTATACCCTACGCGCTTGTTGGATGTTGCCAGATTAATTTAGAGAGACGAACGTTTGAGACATAATCTTCATCCTTCCACTCAATCGCAACTGAAAGAAAATCGTGAGATTCAATTTTTCCCTTTGTGTCTCACTGATACTCGATTATTTGGCGTGTCTTTCGAGAATTTTTATTTCTGCCACTTATCATACTGCTTCCTATATTTTTTCATAACATTGATACATGAAACTGAAGATGTGTCTCACTTGACGATTTTGTAGAACGAAAAATTTACAAGCGTTAATTGTTATCTATATAACGTCGCTGTGCGAGTTTGATTCAATGTTGCAATATGCGCAAATATCACGACGTATTGACAGGTGGAAATGTATTGCTAATATTTGCGCTTGCTGCGAGAATGCTAACCAATTCGATACTTGTTATCAAGCCGGAATCGAAGCGATATTTAATATCGTTGATTGAAAGTTCCAAGTTTTACGATCCTATTGCGCGAAGAAACATGTGTATTTCGCGAATATGAATGATATTTAATGGAAATATGTAATGTACAAAATGTGTTCCAAAGTGCTTTCAAATATAACTTTAATGGCTTTCTCCATGTCGCAGCCAATTTTTATTTCAAAGAATTGTTTATTTTGAGCAACGTTTTATAAATACAACGTGAGATATAACAAAAATCTCTTTTAACCAACCGTATAGTTAAAATCATGGAAATGCAACATTATCCATGTGCATTCGCAATGCATTTGATGCAATTCGTCGAATCGATCGCCCGGTTCGTGAACCAGAAAATTATGCAGCTCCGATTTCGTGCGTGTTATCCTAGCCACGATCATTCTCCGTGGCTCAGAAAAGGATTTGAAAAGAGAAAGAGGTGGCTCGTTCTTTGGAAAATCCGTAATGATTTTTCTATGTGATATTCGGCACACGTGCAGCCAAAAGGCGCAACGTGCAACGCTGCAGCTCTTCCGTAAAATAGATTATACATTTGCGCATTTGCGCACAGAAATGGTCCAATATATTTTTCGAAATAAGAATATTTCTCTTTATTTATGTCTCAGATTTGTGATACTAGAATCGCACATTTAAGTCCGTTTATTGCTTCTTTGGCCTCCGTGCGTTTCAACAGACAGATTTGCAAATGATGATGCACGCCAGTGCGAGAATTTCGGGAAGAACTCTGAATTACGATGTAATATTGCGAGCAAATTCCGGTCATGTGCTATACAAATGATACTACATGTCTGCTCTCCCCCCAAGTAATTTCCACGACGGCGGTAACGCGCCCGGAATCTCCGCAGTCTCATAAGCCACGAGTATTACGCCGGTTACCGTAACGAATACTCTCGGAGGACTCTGCGGGATAATTCCGTCGTGTTTACCGTCCTTAGCGCTCGCGGGATCATCGATTCGCGAAGGATAGGACGCGAGGACGCCGTTCCCCGTGTTGCTACGCCGCTGCGCGATGCCACGAATTCCGATCTGGAATTTCAGGGACGCCGAAGTTTGCGGGAATTTCTCGCGACATAATCTCCAGCAGCATGAAACGCGTGTAATGCAATCTCACACGTATAAGATGTGAGTTCGTGCGTAGGCGATCGGATTAACGGATGAGATGTTTTAGATGCGCATGTCTCACCTCTCCGATCCACGGCGCTCAATTCAGTGATGATCCATGAAATATGTATGTGTATGTATGTGTGCCCAGGAACGTAGCTCTTCGTCTTTGTCGCGCGAGATTTTCTATTCTTTTAAAGCATTTTTTCAATTATAAACGTATTCTCATTCATAATAAGATCTATTTTTCTGTAATTGATTAATTTTATTAATTAAAATTAAATTTTTATTAAATTAATTTTAATTAAAACTAAATTGCATTTTAAATATCTGTCTTTATTTATAAAATATTGAATAAATCTTTCACAGACTTTATTTTAAAACTCATGTAGATCTGTCATATTTTTATCCTTTAAATCGCTTTTTCTCTTATTTTTAGAATTATTTATATTAATTATAATGTATTAGCTTATGATGTGTGAAAGCAAAGCCGGATTTATTTATGGAATGACCTCTGGTTTCATAAAATCTGTCAATTCTCGTTTACCATTCACTACTGCAACGCGCTGGGTGCATCAAGCGCTTATCACAGTCTTGTCGCGATGAGATCACTCGATGCATTCACACCCGCGTTGCCTGACGTCATGCACCGAGGCGCCGAGTGGTGGTCGGCTCCACAGGAATGCCTCTCCTCCTATTGGATCACTTCCGGTTTTCCGCCTGTCACGCTCCATTTGCGGCATTCAGTACCGCATCGCCGGTATCCGCGACCGAGTGTGTCCGCGTATCTTCTCGAAAGATATCCGGAATTATCGCAATCTGGATAACATATTTCTTGGAAAAACTTACGTCGTCTCTCACGAATGCCTCGTTCAGCACATATGTGAGAAAGTAGTGTGTGAATTGAACCGTTTTGACGCCGTATGTGACTCTGAAAAGATATACGAACAAAAGATGCTGTACGATAGTTTTTTTAAAATATTTTTTCTATCATGATCAATTTAAAAAAATATTTTTTTCAAGTTTTTAATGACTTTGAAAACTGATATATATCTAATTTTACTAGAGATTGTTAGTATACAGTTTATTGTGATTAACAAAAAAGATTCCGATTAACGATTCTTTAGTTTTGCTTTTGCTTCAATTTACTATTTAAGATGTAATTATTAAATTTAATATCTTGATAGTTAATTTATCAAGTTCTCAAAATAAGTTGAGACGATTATTTACAAATAAAATGATTGAAAATTATTAGATAATAAATAGAGTTCTAACAAGATAATTGAACTCGCTTAATTCAATCAACCCAGTCAATTAAATCGTCGCGTTGACTTGATTGTCCAGATGCCTTCGCTTTCGTACACCCGATATCTTCGTATCTCGGCGGCACCGCCTTCTTGTTACTCTATTCGGTTCGTATTTCATCGGGGTTCGCCTGCTCGCGTAGGTGAGATTAATTTGCGTATATTTCACGATAATTGTGCGCATTTGCCCGTCTGTGCGAGAGATCGTATTGTTCCCCGGTTATTTCGCGTTTGGTGTAACGCGGACGATTCCTTTGTTATCACCACCGGACTCGAAATTTTGTTCTCTGTCGCGGCCATTATATTCGTATCATTCCCCACGTCCGTCCGCGAAATTGTATATTTAATGTCGCTTCGGCGACGACTTCGATAGTACGAAACGCAGCGTTGGTATATGCGCGCGTTAACGAAACGGATGTCCTGCGAAATTCATGTCGCGAAACGACAGAAAGATGATGCATCCTGCATAACAAAGTTCAACTTCATAAAGCCCTCGCTACCAGTAAGACTTGGAAATCCCATATAATATATGGGATCCCGCGTATACATATTTAAACTTTTCTCGAAAAGAATCGGTCTGATACGAAGTTGGAGACACTTTCTGCGTTAGGCATGAAGATTTATGTCAGAATAAATAGATAATATAGCTTCGTACACATCCACGAAGTTCGTGATACAGGACGGAGGAGAGATACGTATCCTGTGTATATACAAGTATAAAATGATGTACCGCTGTTGTACTTGCATTTCGAGAAATTTTTCTATCTGAAAAAAACTGACTAGAAGTCGGTTCCAACTTCTTTGTAGACTTTACCTTTCAGTTACCTAAAATAAATACCACCTAACTGTTGATAAAGTTTACCTACGAGTTAAATTGTTATTGCCAATTTTACTTGATATCCAACCACCGAGTAAGGATTACTAATATTTATTTTGGGTAACTGTGAGGAAAAGTTTATCAAGAAGTTGGAGCAACCGATCCTAAGACGAGCAGATTTTATATCAGTATTAAGGATTATATATCTATTTATGTCAAACATGGAGAAATTTGAAGATTCAATAAGTTAAAATCCTGTAAAAATGAAAAGCACAATATTTGCGACACCTGTTTTTAGTCAATTTTCTTGAATAACCGATGAATTTGAAGCTTCTTGAATCTCTCGCTGCATAATTATCCTTGCAGTAGCAATCTTAACTCGCTTCCATTAACTAAATATAGCCGCGGTGGCTTTCCCGAAGACGAAAAACTCTCGCTCGACTCTCGTAAAGCTCAGTCTCTCGACTTTTTCACCGTGAAAAGTCACGCAACAGCCTTCGCCTTCGCACTTGCCCCGTCCCGTTTCTTACTCCGTTAACCTTTGAAGAACTCGCCCCAAGTTTAGCAATTAATTCCCCCGCTCGCGGACGTCCCATCCTCGGCTCGGGCTAATCGAAGCTATGCGGCGGTGCTTGCAGATAGTCGACATCGAGGCGGTGCCAAGGTCACGAGGGAGGAGCTGAGGTCATCGCGGCATCTATGTTGTGCGGCGAACTCCTGAACGGTGGCTTCGTCAGTGCCGGAGCGGTACCGGTGGTTCCGTACGGTCTCCTAGGACTCGGGTTGCCCGGTTGTCTGCGCGCTACCAGTCCGCGTCTGTTAACCTCCCCTTACCTCACCCTGCTGGCCGAACTTCTGGCCGCGGGCCGCCTTGAGCTGCGAGACGATCTCCTGGAGCTGATGGACCTGGCAAAAAGGAGCCATCAGGCTCCCGGTAACAACGGAGCGTCCGAGCTCGATCTTGATCTCCACGCCGACGACATCGACGAGATCTTCTTGGGTGAGTGTTTTAAGATATTCCTTACTTTTTTTACAACTTGGCTCTTAACACTTTCGCGGCCGCTCACGTATTTACACTTGTAAGTCAGAAGCCGGTCGTGTAATTTTACGTCCACCATATTAATATTAAATGTCGGATTTTACATCAGTTTAATATAATAGAGCGGCTTCAAGTTGAGCAGAGCCGAATATGTAACGGTCGCAAGTGTTAACTGCTAAAACAAATCGATACGATTGGCGACGAGTTTCTCAGATACCTTAATTTTAGATTCTTTTATGGCTTTCATAAAAGAATTAATTGCGTTTTTATGTGTTGTATAAGTAACGCAAAAAAGTAGAAGCTAACAGGACTACGTTACATTAAAATTCATGCTTTTAATTATTTATCCATTTATTTTGCATACAAAAGAGAGCTATTTAAAAGACAAAGTTTAAGTTTGGACTCTGAGGAAATCTATATCCTGCGTTAAAAAGCCAAAAGAGTTGCGGCTTGACCTAATTGGATAAGTGAAAATCAATGAATCGTCAAACCTGTCCTGAAACGCTGTTGTAACAACTATCAAAAGAAATTGTTCAATATGTTTCAACATCTCGGGTGTCGAAACTGTAACACAATTGAGAACGAGCGTACACGCCCGTCATATTTTTACGCCGCGTCGAAGGTCGGCCGCGCTCGAAAAGATCAAAGGCCGCGCGTGTAATACGCGATCTTACAGCTGACGTGTGTCGTGGGTGTAGGCGCGCGCACGCGGCGTTCCGTTGTCTTTTATTTCGAAAGCGAGCATTCCAACGTAATGGTCGGTAGTTCACATTAATGGGCAATACATGCCGTCATGACGACATCGTGAAAGTAGCTGTGCGTTGGCAGAAGTGAGCGGCGCAGAGCCCGTGATTACGTCCGCGGGTAAATATGCTCCTCGGCTGAACCCGGTAATATTCCACGTTTTCCATGACGTACGATTTGCCGGTTTGCATACGATCCGTTCTACGCGCGTTTTCTAGGAAAACGTTAGAAAGAACAAATATTTGTCTAATATAATTTGGAGCGAGTTTCTCATCGCGAAATTTTACGTCGACACAAGTCCGATTGCGCCAGCGTTTACATTTCAATAAATACTTGCACATTATCGCCACCAATTTACGTGGCGCTGGCAATTCTTCGCGCAAAATCGCGACAATGGGCGGACTTACACAATCGCCCTCCCCCCGCACTGCTCGCCGACTTGAACTTCAAATTACCGTTTGATAAACGATCCGCCTCGATATGAGCTGAAATCACGTAGCGACCCACACTTCTCAGTAAGTTATAAAATCATTCGTTTTATCACGGTTATTGTAGAACGGCGAGAGCTAAATGTCGGCGAGAAAAGCAGCTGCGGAGCACTTGGCGAACTGCGAGTAATTCTATATCGCGAAGGAGTTTAACGATGAGAAAAGTTAATATGGGGAAAGGCAAATGAGAAATTATTACCTCGTTATTCTTTACGTTTGAGAAATTCGACCGACTCACGCGAAGCCGTCGCGCGCGCGCGCGCTTATGCGGATAACTCTCTTTTTACTCTCCCGGCACAATGTCTGCGGTAACAGTATGTTTATGGTTATGACGTTGCCAGATTTATTTCTACCGTTCTCGAGAAAGATTCCGCGCTTGATACTCTGTTCTTCGAGAAGGAGATCATCCGTAGTCTCGATCCTGCGGAGCGTTAAGGCTTTTCAGGACGAGCCGCGCCTTACGGTCATTCTTCTTGGCCGCTTTCCCGGTCAGCTCTCCTCGTTCCGTCTTCCCGCTCCGGTTTGCCTCCTCCGCCCGGGAGACCGTCGAGGATCTTAATAAATCGCTCCGCAGCTCGATTTCGCTTCTTCGTAACGGTCGCTTGGAAAAATGGAGTATCGCCCCACATACGCCGGGAGATCCCTTCGAAATTGCCGGCCTTCCTTTATGCGTTGACGACGCTCTTAATCCATAGATAATTACTTCTGCGTTTTACCCCTGCTGGTAAAAAGGAAGTAGGACATTTCCATATCAATAATTTATCCGACTGAGTATTATTAATGCCACGTCTACTTATATGAGCATTAGAAATGAATATACATTAGACGTTAAGTCGTAGACTCTTAAAAGTTTAAAAGATTTGAAGAATGAAAAAAATATAAGATTGATTCCCTCTATATATTAAATAATTGATATTTTGTTATTTTAATTTTACATTTACAGTAATTTTAATCATATATTTTATGCATTTAATAAGTAGAAAATAATTGCACGACGCCTGCATTAATTTTACACTTTTCTTGTTTCAACGTAGTTAATATGAAATATCAAATATTAATTATCTTAAAAAAGAATTCTGTGCAAATTCTACGCAAATTAAATTGCTCTGCAACATTATTCGGATGCAACTGTGACTAATTTATGAACGTGATACGACTGTTAAAGCTTTTGGTAAAATTGCGTGTCACGCTGCGAGCAAATCACTCATAACGACAAAATGACGCTCTACACATTGAAACACACACTACACAGATTCAGTGAGACATGTTTGAAATTGGGACATCACTGGCATCCGTCTCGCGCATCAGTGCGCTATAGCTTAAAAATCTATTTTACCGCGAGCGAAACGGGTGCGATCGCTTGTCGTCTGGCGGCAAAGTGGTTGAACTTCATCGACAGCACTTCGGAGAACTGCCAGGTTTAGCTGAGAGTTTTGGTGAAATTCTATTGAATTCACAGATTCGCCAGTCACCTATATCGATTATTACGCCGTTCTCCTTTGCAACTGTAAACTTTGTTGCGTGCGATATCGAGATACTGATGCTGCTAAGTCCGATAACGGTTGTTAAGCGGGTATTCAAATTACGTTACAATGGCAGGTACAAATCAGTTATCTATTCATCGATCTATTCACGTAGTTTATTTATTATTATCGTTATCAGTCTGCTTAATCTAAATGCACACTGTGCGAAAACAAGCGAAGAGAAAAGTGGAAAAGGAAATATATCCAAGTGTATTATGTTGCGCTTAAGATCGATCGGATTAGCTCTGATTACAACGCGCGCATGCGTGCGAAAAGAGTTGGGTTTTCCGTCGATCATAAAAGCGACATATTTTCACGAGCGTTGAGAAACACGTGGAAAATTGCGGAAACAATCCGCGGCTAGCGAAAATCTCGTCGTGGAAAAACTGAGCGCGCCGGATATTTCAATCAACTCGCCGGATTGCGCGATATCGCTACTCGAAAGTCGGCGTGATTGGACGCCCGACTCGACTCCATACCAATCGATCGCTCGTCGATCTCCGATGGCTGCGAATGCAAGCGAGGGAATGAGGGAGAAAAGGCGAGCGTTAAAAATAATCTGCGCGAGACGGAATAATCATATTTCACGATTACGTTCGCGGCGGCGGCGGCGGCGCGCGGGCACGCGCAGAAAATTGAAAAACGAGGTCGAATCGGATAGCCATCGAAAATTAGTTTTCGTATTCATTTGCTCGCCGTGAAAGTATATTTCATCGGCACGCGTGATGAATCGCAACCGGCATGCCGTTACGCACCCACCCTTTCGAATAAACGTTTCAATCTGTCGCCGATCGGCCCTCATCGTTCCTGCTCGAGGGACGATAAAATATGAACGATATGCAGAAACGGACGAAATGAAAGAGAATAGAAGCGATTGATGGAAATATTTTTTATCAAATCAAATAACAGTGTCGCTGAAGAATGATAGAAACGGGTCGGAATTGAGAATAAAATATTCTTGCGCCGCAAGATGCAGGTTTGCTATTTTTGTGAAAATAAAACAAAATGCACTGCACAGCTTTACGCTGTTAATAAATACTGATTCTCCGTTGTTATTTACTTGTTATATATTTATTTTGAATTAATCGTTCAATACTAGTTGTATTTTCTCAGTAAACAGCGCGCGAGCTTTTATATTGTAAATTCATGTTGCGTTGCTAATCAGCTCGCGGCAAAACAACTTTATACGTCGGCAAATAATACACACGACCTTTTCCGTTCAAGTAAACACCGCGCACAATCTGTCGCCATTCTCTTTCTCTAAACTCTTTCTTCAAACCCCGGCTAAAAAATGGGATATACGTATGTCGTTCGGGGCGGGATGGTGGAAAAAAAATGAGCGGGACGGAGTGAGGTACCGCCGCCGGTGGAGGAAAGGCCAGGGTGGGAAATGAGGGGAGTGAGAACCTGGCGAAACTCGACAATAGAGCGGATGATCCTGCAGCAACGGGACGCGAGAGCGGCGGAATGGATGAAGCGGGACAGAAGGGGACAAAACGCGAACAATGCTGCCCGGTATTACTTTCTGTTTGCTGCGTCAGACCAACCGCCCACTCGGAACCACAGCGTGTCCACCCCTGATCCGTCTCGGCGCTCTGCAATAGCGTGGCTACAATTTCCGCGTCCTTATGCAACGCTGACGGTGACATCTTTGTATCTTTGCACTCCCCGCCTCTCTTCGCACGATCTACACTACTTACGAACGTTTCGCAACGTTTTATCCACGCGCGAGAGCCGTCCCCTCCCCCCCCCTCTTACCCTTCTGCCTTCCGGCGACAAACAATTTACCTCACGATCGTCTCTGAAATATTCCAAGTGCATCGAGAAGTTATGTCGGGCGCAGTCACGCGACGTAGCGGCAAAGAGAGGGATAATCGATTACACGAAGAATCGCTATCGGCGCATTCGAGGGGATCACGAATTTATGCGTTACTATGGTAGCGCGGCTAATGGATTTACTTATCCGTTATTACGAACCCCGTCGGAGTTAAATTTGGTTACCGGGTACTTACCCGGCAACTAACGCAAAGCGAATCAATGACCCAGTTCGTCCCGGCGCGCTAAATTATTTTTCGCTATCGATCGCCCTCTTCGCTGACGCTGACGCTATTATTTCGCGTTAATCACGACTAATGAAGAGCATCGCGCGTTGTCGGAGCGCGTTTACCGCGCTCTCAGTAATGCTTACTCCCACTTACTC